AGACCCCTCCAAGCCCCACGGACGCCAAGGCAGAGCACTCGCTCATCGTGCCGCAACCCGCCGTCGCCGTGGCGGCTACCACCGCCGAGCACTGCATCACCGGAGAGCACCGCACCATCGCCAAAGCACCGCACCACGGTCAAAGCACCGCACCACCGGCCAAGCACTGCACCACCGCCGGAGGACGCACCACGGTCGAGCACGACCATCGGCGGGAGCACCGCACCACCGGCCGGAGCACCGCACCATCGGCGAGCACACCACCCGCCGAGCACCACCACCACCGGCCCGAGCACCAGACCACCGTGGCCAGGTCCGCTGGGAGCACCTGGCGTCTCCTCGTCTCACCCATCCTGTTCGCTGGAGTCACGAATAACTCACGCGCACGCCGTGACCACCCCGCTCGAGCGCCGTAGTGCACTCATGCGCCGCCGCCGTCGTCACCATGTCGCCGTGGTGCGCCGGAAACCCCTACCGCCACCTAGAAACCCAAAACCCCGCCTTGAGCCCTAGACGTCCTCGCTGCGTCCCCATAGATCCATAGGAGCCTACGCACCCCACCGAGACACTTCACCGTGGCCGTAGCCCCCACACCGACGCTGTCGTCGTGCTTGGAAGCGCCGCCATGGCTAAGGCCACCGAAGGCCCCGGAGGACCCTCGACCGCCCAACATGCCCGGGCTGGAGCACTATGACGCCACACGCACCATAGACCCGGCCTATGCCGCCGCACCCGCCACCCTCGCAGACGCCGGTTGTGCTCGAGCCGCTGTTCGCCGTGGCTAGTGACCTAGGGAGTCCTAGCGTCGCCGCGACACACCACCATCGAGCCGCCAAAGCTCGACGGTGCTTTTTTCCCACGCCAATTGGGCGCTAGCACCCTGCGAAGCTCATCGGTGAGTACGCCGCCATGAGCGCGCCGTGGAAGAAAACAGAGAGGAGGGCGAGTTGAGCAAATGCAGCCTTGCACCCGGTGCACAAGAGCCGAGCCGAGGGAAATAACGGTGGACTTGGTCCACCAGGACCCCGCTTAGGTCCATGGACGGCGCCTCTTGGTCCACCGTGAGCCACGCTCACGCCCACAGCCGACGACCACAACCCAGTGGAGGCCTAAGGCCGTGATGTGGCGGCGCCACAAAGACGCCACGTGTCCGGACAGCCCGCCCAGATCGCCCAAATCCAGCCCCTCGCCAGCCGGTTTGAGACCGGCCCAGATTGACCATTGATCGGTCAACCATGACTATTGACTGGTCCCATATGTCGCTGGTACGTGCATACATCGGACCCACACGCCGATGTCGACGTCATATCGACGTCAGGTCGACGGCACACGGACCCACTTGTCAAGAGCAAAGACGGCCCGGCCGAGGTAACGTCATGCTGACGTCAGCAAGCCACGTGGACCAACCACATCGTGACACTTGTCAGCCCAGGATTAAGTCAGCCTTTTTCATTTTCAGAAATGGATTAAATCTTCAGAAATTCATAACTAATTCATATGACCTCAGAAAAATACGAAACCAGGACCAAAATTCATCTAAAAATCGAGCTCTACGCAATGGACCCATGCTTGAGTGCATTTGGTTCTTTTTGAATTTTCATTGCTTCTTTGTGCTATTCTATAGACGTCGCTAACGCGACTATAATGCGGTCGTTTGTAGACTCGGAGGAGAACCGGACGGACGAAGATCGTGAGTACCGTGAGGAGTACGGAGACGACTACACTGAAGGTGCCACATCCCACCCAATCTCGTAGCACCTATTACGTATGGCTAATATAGAAATGCTAGTGCTTACTTTATTGTCATGATCATATTATGGTAGGACTTGCATGGTAGTATGTCTTCTTGATGGCCTTTACCTTGACGCAACCTTACCCCTGCTCACCCTGCGGATAGGCTAGTCACACGCTTGCTATTACATTTTCATCGCTTATTACTTCTACTACGCTTGCACTACATTGATGCGTGGTGGAAACCGGTGTTATCTGGACCATGGGGAGAGTGCTGCGTGTGTGACTTGGGTGCGTGGAGGGTGAGGGTTGTGTCGACCAAGTTGGAGTATACGACGAGCCTGGGACAAGTCTTGCCATGGGGTGCTACCTGGGCACCCCTGGAATGGATACTTGTGGTGGGTAAAAGGTATATGAGGTGACCCTGGGTGTGATCCTATGATGGGAGGAGCCTAGGGTGGAGGTGCTGTGGTGGCACGGTAAATGGAAACCCTGATGGAGACATTCTGGCTTGGTCATCCCTAAGGACTTACTAGTACTCAGATTTACCGGGAAGCCTTACGTACCACTCGCCCTATATGGTGCAGGACGGCCGGACTACTTTGTAGGATATTGCCACTACTGCTAGGTTGATAACGGACAGTGTGAGGGAGGTACGGGGCGCGGAGGATTCCCCCACACCCTTCCAAGACTTCATGGAGACTTTGTGGACCCGGCTCATGACTCACAGTTTCAACCACCCCAGACTAGACTTGGGGTGTACCAGGGCTGAATGGTAGAGTGGCATTATCCTAGGTTAGCAAGCGGCCGGAATCAGCCCAGTTGACGACGGTCAGCGAGGAAGGCAGATCTTGTGGTTATGTAAAACCTCTGTAGAGTGTATGGTTGATCGATCGATACATATGCCGACTCGTCGGCAATGGACCTTTTCTGGGTTTCGCTTAAACTAGATAGTGAGATGAGTCCTTCTTTTCTCCCCTGGGAGTGAGTGTTCGGATGTAGCCAGGGGCTACGGGCTTTGAGACAGTGCCGAGAGAGAGTTGGCCTGTCGACTGAGCGATGGTATGCCTGTGGTATGGTGATAGTGTGGAGATGGTGGTTTATCGATCTCAGGATCGAAACCTGGCTCTGGAATGGGAATGGGGTGGAATGGGTGTGTGAATGGAGTTTGAACTTGACCAACTATTATTATATACTTGATTTACTCATGCGTAGGAAACCCCAGCCTTATAGGTTCCTTTTGATTATATCCAATTTGCATCCAATTTCCACAAAGCAATGCTCATAGGGTTGGGAATGGCCAGTACAAATCGTACTGATAAATTTTGGCACACAGGTTCTGCTGAGGAGTATAGCTCTGAGGAGTTTGACGATTGAGGGGTTCGTTTCTACGCTCGAGTCTGGCGATCCTATCTTCGAGCTGTTCTGAATGAATGCTACTTTTGATTCCGTCAATGCGGCGATGTAATAATTTATGTATTCCGCACTATTTGTACTCTGATATTATCGTTGTATGGAAGTGATATTCAACTAAAATTTAGGTAATATGATCTATCACGGTCTTATTACACTTCGACTCTGTGGATTTTTCTTTGTGAAAATCGGGGTTGTTTCAGCGTCCCAACTCCGAAGACCCCCATCGAAAGACCGGACCTCACCTGCCTTTGCCACGACCCCCGTGGCCATGTGGGATCGTGTGCCAGTGCCGCTTCGGCTGGCATCTCAACGCACTGCTGCGTGCCAAGTTTGGCCTCTGCCGCAGATGATTGGGAGCAGCTTTTTGAAACTCTGCAGGCTTGTTCGTCCATTGACCTGGAAAGGCACCTGTTTTTGCCTGACCTCGGAGTATAGTTTTAGGCTGATAGTTGGAACAACCTTAAACACTAGCAATTAGCGTGTGTAACTGGCCAATTAGCAGTTGCTCACTACTCAGGTTATTTGGCCGTTTCCAGGTACTCATAGTGACTGATTACTGTGGTATATTCGCAGCAATTCTGCTGGATGATTGATGGCTACATAAGTCTTCGAAACGACCAAACATTTCCAAGGCAATTACCAGATATAGATCCTCTCTCCTCATTTTCTATATAAAATCCCGTTTTGTTGAGATACGTAAACGTGTAGATTCGAGTCGTCGTTGTCGCGGAGAGGGTGGTGGCATTACGGTTTCCAGGTGGTCTAGCTAATTGTGCAACAACTCCACCACTCTGCATCCACTCTGAAACTCACACGCTTCATCTTGTCGATGCATCGTCTTCTCCCTGCATACCAAGTCTTCTACCTAGTTTTTCTGCTCTTCACCAAATCCAACATTATAGCTATATTACTAATCTTCATCATATCCAGATTGAGCTATGCTCTCGAGTCTCAACATCTAATGCTCGTTCCAAAATATAAGGATTTAAACTTTGACCCTGAATATAAGGATTATAATAAGGATAGTCACAACCTAAACCCACTAGATAGTTTCCGTAGCTCACACCTTAGCGAGAAACTTCATCTAGAGACTATGGACCAGTTTGGCAGGCTCTGGCTCCAGCTTCTCTTGTCGAGCAGCTTTTTTGGGTAGAGCTAAAGCCATTTTAAAAAAAAAAAAGACGTACGGCAAAAATAGCTTCAATTGTAGTTTCATAATGATTTGTGTAAAATTTATGAGGAACTGAAAAAAGCTATGTCACCATAGCTCCGTCTCCTCAATACAGAAACGGCTTCAAATCCTCCGGTCTCGTTGCAAGGAGCCATTTTTAGATGGCTATTTGGCATGGCTCCGTAGCAAGAACCACAAGTGCCTGATTGAGGGGGCATCAAAGTCATTTCCCTTTCTCGTAATATGTTCTACTAAAAATTCTAAAAATCCTTGTATTAGGTGCATATTTGCACGGACCTTGTTTATACCAGCATGGTAGAGCCGTAGAGGCGGTAGAGGGAATGGATGGAAAGTGTTGCTAGGAGTCTAGGACCAATAATGTAGTTGGATTGTTTTCCCCTCCAAGAGCTAAATAGTGTTCTACTGTAGGAAGCTTGCAATGCGGGGAACACGGAGGGCATAGTCGTCAAATGCGCCGTTCCGCCCACTGCTCAGGCGGTCCGGGTCCGGCAGTCCTCTCCCACTCCCTACCCGAAAGCTTCACCCGGACGCTTGCCCTTCTCCGTCATTAACCATCCCAACCTCCAAGACCGGGACGGGACCTCCCCTTTCCGTCCTCTCGCCGCTCCAGGCATTTTGACGGAAACGCCCCTCACCCACCGGCGCGCGACCGACGCCGGCGATGCTCCGGCCGTCGTACCCGCGGCGCCTCCTCCAGAGCAGCGGCGGCGCCATCCCCAACCCGAACCGCATCCCGGGCATCCCGCCCGCCGACCCGCCCCCGGCCGTCAACTCCGATGTCGTGGTGATCCTCGCCGCCCTGCTGTGCGCGCTCATCTGCGTCGTGGGCCTCGCCGCCGTCGCCCGCTGCGCCCGGTCCCGCCGCCGCAACAGGGGCGCGGGGGCCGACGGCGGCGCCCCGGCGTCCTCCCCCGAGCAACCCGGGCGACGGTGGCGGCGGGCACGGCCACCACCACCACGCGCACCAGGCCACCGGCGCGAGCGTGGCCACCAATACCACGTCCGCGACCGCCGCCGCCAGCAAGGGGCTGAAGAAGAAGGCGCTGAAGGCGCTGCCGAAGCTGGCGTACGCGGACGCGGTGGCGGCGGCCGCGGCGGCGCGCGGCGCGGCGCCGGCGGCGGAGGGCGAGGAGGAGGCGAAGGCGGAGGAGCTGCTGGCGGAGTGCGCCATCTGCCTGGCGGAGTTCGGCGAGCGGGAGGAGGTGCGCGTGATGCCGCAGTGCGGCCACGGGTTCCACGTCGCGTGCGTCGACACCTGGCTGCGCTCCAACTCCTCCTGTCCGTCCTGCCGCCGCCCCATCGTCCTGGACGACCCGGCGCCGCCCAAGCGGTGCCGCAAGTGCGAGGCCGTCGTCCTGGAGGCCGTCCTCGCCTCGTCGTCGTCATCGTCGTCCGCCGCCGCCGCCGGCGGCAGAGGGGGCCGCGGCGGTGGGGGATTCTTGCCGTAGCAGCAGCAGCAGTTGGCTGGTTGTTTGTTTGTCTGACGGGCGGGGCCAGGCCGGTCCTACTCGTGGGTTGTTGAGCTGCCCCCATCAGCCCGTGCCCACATGTCATTAGCGCAGCCAAGATCCCCTCTAAAGCAATGAAAACCAAGAATAACTAGAAGGGAAAATGTGATTCTTTTTGTACAACCTTTTTGGAGTTCTGCACCAACTTTGGCTTGTGGGGGCATATGACATCTGTTGGAAACTTGCAGCGGGTACTGTAAAAAGGAAAACTGTGAATTGGGGGTAAAAATTATATATATTTGTGTTATATTTATGCTAGTGGTAGTTTCTAGTTTGTACTGATTACTGAAAGGCTATTTGTAGTCAGTGAAGTATAGAGAGGGTTGGAAACATGGATATTTTTATTAAAAGAAACATGGAGTTTCTCTCATCGGTAGGCTAGACTAGGTGTGCTCACTTTGGCATTATATTTCCGTGATGTCTACAACTTGGAAGCTGACATGCCGCTGGATCATCTTCTAGCAAGGTGTCAATGTGGGTGATGGGGTTTGGGGATGGGCAGGGGGAGCTGTGATGTGCGTCCAAAGTGGAGTGGTCGAGCAGTCTGCTTCAGGGGTTAGGTCGCTGCCTCGCCTCGCCAGGATGGCCATCAACCAAAGCTAGCATGTGCCTGAGCGCGAGGCTTTTGTCTTCCTTCCATCAGACAGATTGGAAGCATCATTGGTTACCGCGTTAAAAAAAGGAAAGATTTCCTAGATCCTAAACCTGCTCCATTTCATTCCTGCCATCAGATGAAACTTGCAAACAGCTCACGCTGAAGAAACTTGTGCCAAGTGAACCAGAAACATCGTGAGCTGGTTTACCGCTTTTTGGGATCCACGGTCGATCCGCATCTGCTGCTGAAAAAGGTCGTTCCATTTCCACCCGACACGAAATTCAGCTGTGCGCATGGCACGCATCCTGTAGAGTGTAGACGTGCAGTGAGTCATCGATTCTAGTCTCGCGAATCGCCGATCCCCAGGTCGGACATGGTTGGTTAGCCAGCCGCGATGGTGATCGCGCCCCCGGACAGGCGGACAAGACACGACGGCGCGGCTGAGTTGGCGGCGAGGGCGATCATGCCATGTCTCTGGTTGGTGGTGCCAACGTGACGAGACGAGACAAATAGCGTCAGGCCGTCAGCTCCCCCAACTGCCACGAGCCCACAAGGGCCACAACACGGAAACTCTTTTCTGCTGGCTCTGTTTTTACAGTTATTATTTACTCTCTCGAAAATGTACAGCACACTAGCTTATGCCCCGTTTAGAGCAGCTAAACATTTTATAAGCTGCAATAATGTGTGAGAGAGGGTCACTGAGTCAGCTAATAGTTTTTTTATAAACGAGGTTGTGTGGTTCAAAATGGCCTTTAAACTAGAGTATAGGATGGGTTGTTTGGATCAGTTTTTTTAGCAACTAGCAACTTATTTTAGCTAATATAAGCAAAGACCTTAGCTTCAATGTCTTATATTTTGGAACAAAGAGAATAATAATACATGGACAAAACCCCTTTCCCCATTTGAAATGCACTGCTCGCTCAGGTCAGCAGACGTTAGTGACAGGCTTTCTGGGTGCACACACCTACGTTTCTGGTTCCATTCACGTGTTTGGTAAGGGCAGCCACAACGCAGCTACTACAATCATATGCCTCGGGAAAAAAGTCACATGCCACGTATTCTAAGGAGAAATGAACGGACTTGTTTAGATACCCTCAAAATTCCAAGTTTTTTCACTCTCTCAGATCACATTTTTTTTAGCCGTTTGTATTTAAGAAAAAATTAGGTAATTAAAAAAAATTAACTAATTAAAAGATTTAGTCTCAAATCACGAGATGAATCTTTTAAGCTTAGTTGGTCCACGATTGGATAATATTTACCAAATAAGACGAAAGTGCTACTATTCATCGAGGTGAAATTTTTTTCAATCTAAACAAGTCCGAAGCTAACAATCTCTCAACGCAGGCCTCTTCTCCTGTCACAAACGTCACTTTCACCTTTTTCTCTTTACCCCTGACAGACAGGAATAAAGTTGCGTAGAGTATGGTTTCATCCACCCTCAACGCGTGTTTATATGAGAGCTTCTACAAATTGTCAGCCCAAGCCTACGGTGCCTCTGAAGGCAGCACTGACATACTGCTGTTTTGCGTGATCTGTCCACGGCGTGTATAGGTGGGCGTTGGGGCTACAAGACAGCGCGTAGCATTAGGGAGGCCCTGAGACTGGCTTGCGGAGGTGGCAAGATGTGCAAGAGTTTATGTCAGGTTCTCAAATACTACCAAAGAACAAACAAGAGAGAAGAAGAAATGGATTTCAATAATCACCAAAGTATGCTCAAAATGATTAACACGTCCCGGAGTTTCTCACTCACTGCTTGCTACCAAGGCACGGTGTACACAGGCATATGATGTAGGAGTATTTGTTAAGTAAGTATTCAGTTTCACCACTAAATTGACCAAAAGGAAATACTAGCATGGCTCCTCTTTTCGTTCATCAAATTAGACTTGCCACCCCTGAAATCTTGTCCATCAGGTGTCTACACCTGACTTTGCAGCTAGTACCCAACAATAACGGAAACACAACTTTCATCAAGCAAACCTCCCAGTCCCAAGCCTGCTGCAGTGACAGGCCAATGCCACTCTAGTAGTGTGCCCCTGATATATCTGAAAAGCTGCAAATGACTGAATGAGAGGACCATCTCTCATCCGAGATCTTCCTCCAGATATTCCTCAACATAAAGAGCTTTGCCGGCATCTTGGGACCTCAGCTTTTCCATCCCGATCCTCCCAAACCAAAGGGGCCACTAGAAGCGAACGCATGGCCTTTTTCTCTGTGCTATATTATGGGTCGCCAAAGGCCAAAGCAACCATGAAAAGCCCTAGAACTGATCACTGGCTACACTCAAAACAGCCAACAGGGATTGTGCTTGCCAGTCTCAAATTGGAGGCCTACGTATCAGACGGTTATAATTCTTCATCTGTCTCCATTGGAGACGCACTCATGCACTCGGCTAGCTGGAATTCTACTTTCTCTGCCACTAATGCCTAATGGAGATGAGCACAGGAACAAACCACCAGTGATCTTTTCCTCAACAACCGGAAGTCGAAGGCCCTTTCGCTTTAGCACCTACCAATAAACTGAAAACACAACTGCACTAGCATTCTGCAAAACAACAGGATTGCCACGCACTAGCCAACAACTCGTGATTGGGAGGAAGTTGACAACACAAAGAAACCAATAGCATAACTGTCATACACCACTAGTTACATAGGCAAAAAAAAATTCCAACGAACACAAGCACAAAGTCTCCAAGCAAAAAATAACAGATGATCTACACATCCTTCCTAATTCTGAAGGCCAGCCTATGACAGAATCAAGCCTCACAATGTACAGCCAAATCATCTCTTTAGGTGCCCTACGGTCCCCCACTTCATCGGTCAAGTTTCTTTCACAAGGCATCACAGGATTAACCACAGTGAAGTGTGCAAACCACAAAATTACCGCAAGTCCGCAAGCGATGCTGGTCGCTGGGTCTGGGTGATTAATCTTCCCTGGCTTCCTTGGCTTGCTTTGCTCCAACGGAGAAGAACTCAGTGATGACCTCGAGAGGCATGCCCTTTGTCTCTGGCACCTTGATGAATACAAATATAAGAGCCAGGATGCAAACAACGGCATATATCCCAAAGACGCCAGCGAGACCGATGGCATTCAGCATCACAGGAAGCGTGTATGTCACGATAATGTCACCAATCCAGAAGGTTAAGGCGCAGATGGCTATGCAGATGCCGCGGACGGTGGTGGGAAAGATCTCTGCACAGAGAATGTTGGGAATAGGCCCAAACCCCATGACAAAGAAGCAGAAATAGACTATGACGCTAATCGTGGAGAGTGCAGCATGCACCATGGTTCCCACATCCACAATATTGACCACGACCAAGATAGCTAGTGCAACTATCAAGATAGGGATTGTCGCAAGGAGAAGAAATCTGAATGAGAAATAAGATACAAGAATTATTACGGTTTTTACTTCTACTGAAGAATGTCTTTAAGCAAAGATAAGAAAGGAAGCACAAAGCCTAACCTCCTTCCAGATATATCCATGAGCCTCATTGCAATACCAATGCTTGGAAGCATAAATAAGGTTGTCAAGGCACTAATAAGAATTGATGCAGAAGATGCGCTAAGGCCAATGTTCGACAGAAGAACACCAACACCTGCTTGCTCAAGAATTTGAGGAGTGTAGTAGAGAACACCATTGATGCCAGCAAACTACATAAAAGATAGTTAATGAACACAATAACACTTTATATACCTCATTGATGGAAAAACAGTTAAAACAAAAACAAAAAGTATGCCACAAATGTGAAATGTTATGCTTAAACATTTTAAAGCCATATATGACAAATTTATGAAAGGGGAGAAGATATTAGCATACTGTTTCCATACTTCTGATAAATAACATTACTCAAGTTCTGTGACCTAAACAACACCAAAAAGCACCACTGCCAACTCACAGCACTTTCCCAGTATCTTTTTATTTAATAGAGTTGCGTTATGCATTACACCACAGCAAAAAAATTAATGATTAACTGGCTAACTGCTACAAGATATCAAAGCTGACTTCACTTATGCTAGGAACTAAAGAGTTATTAGTAGGATTTGCAGTTTGATCAGAAAAACTAGCTACCGGATTAGCATCAGCAGTATCATCAAGTTTGTTTATTCAGAAACAGCAGTAAAATACCACTGAGTGGCTTACCATAAATCCCAGGTTCCTATCTTTGCTGGTAAGGCCAAAAGTAAGAGCTTAAGAAAGTTATTAGCAGAAGTAAAGCACATAGCATCGACATGCTTAATTTACCTCTTTAGTTTTGAGAGAGAACTTTAATGCATCGAAGGACTAGAAGAAATTCTTTTGGCATTTCAGAAGTGCTAAATTAAGTACCAATACCAAGTGCACTAAGGGGTGCATATATATTCGATACAGGCAAAGACTTGTTACCTGTTGTAGGATCTGTATTCCTATGCCAACAAACAGTGCATGCTTCACTCCAGGCTCAAATAGGTCAGCCCATCTTGGACCTTTAGCAACTGCCTCAGATGGATGCATCATCGCAGGACCAGCAGCATGTTGCTCCAGCAGTTCCTTAGAGTAAAGAGCTGGTTGACTCACAAGAGCTGCAGCCTGGACGAACTCACCACCAGGAGGAACATCCCCTCCTGGTAATGACAATATAGAACCCCTGTTGCCTTGTACACCCTCCTCATGCAAATAAATACGCTGGAAGCCACCTTCCTTTTGTCCATCTTCGCCCTCTCTCTCAGTCCATTTCCACGCCAACTGCCATCCTCCACCAATACCCATGCTGCTTACTGCCTCCCCTCCCTGCAGGCTACTGCTTCTTCCCACAGCACCCATTATGCTACCATGAGGTGCAGCAATCTCCTTTCCTTCCACACTTGTTGCTTGACGAGAAATAAGTGGGCTTTGGAGGTTATCCTCAATGTCATCGCCACCATGATCTGAAGCATAATCGTCACCCTCCCTTTGACTCTCGGAATCCCAGTCAGCCTTCACCTGCTGCTGTTCGGCAACACTAAACATGCTGCCAAAGTTGGGAAACAATGTGCTCCTCATGCTCCCCATTATCTCAGGCATCTTTTCATGAACACTGCCGAAAAGAGTGACCACGGGATCCACGAGGGGCTTACCCTGACTAGCCATACTCCCATGACGAGAGATGAGACCTAACGCACTTCCAAGAGCACTTTGTCCCCGAACAGGTCGGGCAATCCAAGATAGGCCTTCTTCAGGTCCATATAATTTGATCTTCTCTGGATCTGGAGCCAGACCTTCCTCAGCAAGCTCGTCATCAGGGCCGATTATGTATTCTTCAATACGTGTATCTTTGCCAACCCCCAAACCTTCAACTAGAAGAGCCATTTCCCCTGTAAATTCAATCCAGATCAGCATGAGTACTCATCAACAAAACAGTAAAGAAACTACAGCTGCATATAAACTATATGTTGCAAAGTCATACAAACCTGAGACATCTTCCCTTCCCCGCAGCCTTTGCAACACTCGCTTTGCCTCAGCCATCCTTCCTTTACTCACAAGCCACCTTGGTGATTCAGGCAAGTAGAAGACAGTCAATCCAAAGTAAATAAGTGATGGGATCGACAGAACTCCAAGCATGAGCCTCCAATCAGGTGTGGGCATGAGGGACATCCCAAACACCATACAGTAGGAAAGGAACATCCCTCCTGACCCACTGAACTGCGGCAGTGTGTTCAACAGCCCTCGAATATCTGTCGGCGCAGTCTCAGAAATGTACAAAGGAACAAGTGTGACGGCCAAACCAATACCGAACCCATCGATGAGCCTTGCAAGGAGCAAGACATACACACTTGGTGCCCAGAGCATCACCAGCCCACTAACAAAGTAGAGGACAGCCGAGGCGATCAGCATGGGCCTCCTACCAACAGAGTCGGCCACTGCCCCGGAGAACGTCGTGATGACTGTTGCCCCAATGAGGGACATGGCCACGATGAGGCCCTCAATTAGGGGATCGCTCTCCAAGTCGAATTCCTTCTTTATGTACAAGACCGCTCCTGGAGAGATCAGACATCAGGTCAACAGGGTCAGAACATAGTCAAGCTATCTGTGTCAGTTCAAAATTTTGACACATCTTGACTTGGATGGCAGCAAGTTTCAGATGGAGAGATCATGTGTGGTGGATCCACCAATTATTTAATCACGTTAGGAATAGATTCGAATCGCTTGAGGAAATAACCGCTGCCCAGTAAATTTGTGATCGAAGAGTAATAGCAAAAATATTTTTTTTCTACTATGACGCAAGCAATTCGACCAAACACAGCATGATCTCGACAGGAATCCCAATAATTGCTACTGTACCTAACATGGACCCTAGCGGCAAGCATAGAAAGGTATCTGGGAGCAACTGTATAAAGAAATTTAGACTTTTATATCGTGAATTACCAGCAATTGTCGCATTGTCCCAGCCCTGCAGCAAGTTGCCGATAGAGGCCGCGATGGCGACCAACACGGCGCCCCCCATGGCCGCCGAAATCTACGCCTGCACAGACACCACACACGCGACAACAGCGTGCATCGTCAGTTCATCATTCATCATACCAAATCCTGCAGTACTCCAGCAAAGGAGACGAACCAAAGAACAAACTGGACTCGAAAAGAACCAGGCTACAAAGAACAAATCGGGCTCGAAAAGAACCAGCCTACAAAGAACAGACCCAAGCAGGAGGGAGGGCTCACGCTTACCCCCACTCCGGCGGCGGCGGCCAAGATTCGTGATCCCCGATCGGGCGCGGGACCTTCTTAAACAGCGGCGGCGGCAGGTGGTGAGGTGGCCAGACGGGAGTAAGTGCTGCGGACCTGCGGTGAATTTTGGCAAAGCTGCGAGGCTTTCTTTGCGCCGCGCGTTGGGATTGGAGAGCGAGCGAGGGGGGGCAAGGCAGGGCAGAGCAGAGCTGCCGCCTGCAGTCTGCGGAGGCAGTAGGCCGGGGTGGTGGAGGGGGGTGAGATGAGAGCGGAGTGCTGGGTGGGGGTCCTGGTCACCAGCTTGTGTGCGTGTAGAGACTAGAGAGGAGAGCGAGAGGCAGCGTTGGTTTTTCTTCTCTCCAACGGCACCCAGACTGTAACCCGTAATGAGGCTGAATGTGGGGCCGTTGTATGTGGGGCCGTTGTATGTCAGGAGGTGTGTTGAGCTAAACTTGGCGTGTGAATCGGCGTGCAGAATGTCTGTTAACAGGTGGGCACAGGCAGGGGATAATTATTGTGCGGGGCAGGAGACTCCTTGGATCCAAGCTTAACCTCGTGTGGGACACCTAGGCATTGTGTGCTTGCGATTACTAAGGAATTGTTTGTCTATAGCTCTTAAGCGGCTTCTAAGAAAAAAAAACTCCAGCTGCGGCTAGACAGCCTCGGTATTCCGGCTTAAGATGAAGATTATCTCACGTAGATCGAGAAAATTTTTGAATCCTAGCCTCACCCATGTACAGCGGCACCGCATCCCTGTGATAAGAAGAAGATCATTTCACGTAGATCGAGAAAATTACTAAACCCTGGCCCCACCTATATACAGGTGCACCGCATCCCCGTGAGACGGGACAACCACATACATGTACTTTGCGTGGGACAAACGAGGAGATTTTTTTACCCTCAGACCTAAAATTCATCCCCAAGGGGGTTCGAACTCAGAATCTAAAGGGTGTCGCTGGAACCTCTAACCAGTTCGGCTAGAGGACCTTTGGCAAGCGGCTTCTAAGAGTATGTATATATCTTTTTTATTGCTAGAAATAAGGTCCTATTTGATCCATTAGGCTAATAGCTAGTTGTTAAACTTTAGCCCTTGAGGATCCAAGCAATAAGACTAATGGGTGGACTAAAGTTTAGTTAAAGCCCTAACTGGTTGTTAGCTCACTAGTCCATAGAACCTAGCTATCAGGGACTAACAATTAGTTGAGGATCCAAATAGGACTAGTGATTAGCTGACTAGTAGTTAGCTAGCTAAAGTTTCGTCCAATTCTGTTTGGATCTTCAGCTAATTGTTTAGTCCCTGATAGTTGGGGCTTTGGCTACTTTTGTCCACCCATCAATCCTCCTATTTCGATTTTCAAGGGCTAAAGTTTTTTACTTGGGAATAAGAGCTAAAGTTTTAGCAACTAATTGTTAGTACAAGGGATCCAAACATGGTCTAAAGATTTTGATAAAAATAACCTTCAATATATTTTTTTAATTAGATCTCTAAATATTACTATCTTTTATTCTGAATTTCTTGCTAGCTAAAAACAAAGAATAGAGTTAGCTCTCTAAAAATATGCATAATATGGAGAGCGACTCTTATTCAAATGGCTCTCTAAGTGATGATTGAGATAAGGAATTTAAGAATGACTCTTTTACGATGTTCTAAGTCATACACAAGTTTGTTAGGCCTGTTTGATTTCCATAAACTAAAATTTAGCCATCTAAAGCCGTAGTTGTACAAATAGATGGACTAAAAGTGAACTAATTTTTAGTTTTCAACCCAACTAACAATTAGTTGATTCATTGACAAATATGAACTAATATGGACTAAAACATGAGTCTTTGCCCATAAAGTCTATTGGCTTTTATCCATGTATCTAAATAGCATTGGACTAAAGTTTAGGTACTTTAGTCCCCTTAAACTATAGATCTAAGTCATCCAAACATGCCTTAAACGGTGATAAAAAAAAACCTCCGCATTTGGGAGCTAGAGCCCTTTTTCTACTAGTCGTACGAAGCTGCACAGAATTGATATATTTGCAAAAGAAGGCTAGTTACCTCCAATAGTTCTTTAGATATATTAGTATTCTTTTCTCTGTAAAGAAAAATACTAGTATTCTTTAGTGATAATATCATGGTTACATCACTGAAGAGCATATCTAGGCAGATCTAGCACCGGCGCGAGGTAGGCTTGAGCTCCTGCTAACGCTACTCCAAGCATGAAATCCCTCCTAAATCCTCCTTTAAATTAGTACCTGGAAGCTAGAAAGGAGTGGCTAGAGATAGAAGATAATCTGCTAACTTATTTTTCTAGATCTGCCATTAACCTCGCTAATCAGCTCATGTTACCAATTGACATCAAACAATAAGTCAAATAGACAGACATCTTTCATCCATTTTTAAAAAATAGAAAAAATTGCTTTACATGTTCCGGAGACCTGCGTACCAAGCAAGTCCTAACAAATGCTCTTATGGTATTAATATAGTATTGTAGAGCTTAATGAGATCCAAAACTTTATAGTTAGCCACCTTTTATTTTAGATTTTTAGATAATTTAGATGTTTAGTTATTTAACATAGGTTCTCAGACCTATTAAATAATCTTCATTGACAACAAGATCTACATCAAAGCTGTATAGTACTATATGAGATCTGTAACTTTATAGTTAACAACTTTATAGTTAATAACTTTTCATACGAGGTTGTTTAGAGTGTCAAATATGTACATGATTCATTTATAATACAACTTTTTTCTTTGTAGTTATATGGTTGTAAGTGTTGCATAGTTGAGATGGTTTGGACCTTGTAGAGAACCTTGAGGTTGCTTTTACGATAACTTTAGAAACGACGGTGATAAATGGTTTTTAGTATTGTATTAAGTTTAGAATCGATAGTGATAAGTGTTTTTTAGTAGTGTATGAAGATCTAGTATGATCTTATGTTCTCATGTTTTACGGTCAATTTTAGGGAGCTTCAACCCGGCCTTGGATCTCAAGTTCAGTAGGTTTTGAAAATATTTGTCTCAAGATTTCAGAAAGGTATAATATAGTGAAAAGAAATGGAAGGCGATTCGGTATGGTATGGCATTGAACGCAGCAAGAAAATATGGACATGGTTTTTGTGGTCTTGATGTCTCCCTCTTATTGGCATTCGATTTCTGCCATCTCTAGTTCCAAAGTTAAGAAAGCCACAAGAGAGGAAACACAGCACCACACTTCAGGAAGAGGGGCAGAGCGAAGAAAAGAGAACGGGTCAATGATGAACAAAGATCCTAAACGGAAAGCACATAGAAGGAATATAGCTTTTATCTTAAAAACAGGAATATAGCTAACGCTGTTTGGTATATGTGAGACCCCACTAAATGGGCCAAGCTGGTCCGGTCTGGTGGGCTGGGCCGAATGGATGAGTACTGTAGCGACAGGGGTGACACGGATACCGTAGCTGTGGAAAAATGCTGTAGCAGTCGAATTAGTACCACCTCGGAAGCTGAAGGAGAGCCGAACAGCTAAAAAGGCTAAGCCTGGGAGGCTGTTAAATTTGGTTTGAACTTTTTGCGCGAAGCAAGGACGAAAGCGTAAGAGAGTTAATTAGCAGGTGTTAACCATTTAACGTGTAAAGTGGATCTTAGCCTTCTTTCCAAGCTTGGGCATTACAAAAATGTGAAACCCCACTAAATGGGCCAAGTTGGGCCGGTCTGGTGGGCTGGGCCAAATGGCCGAGCACTATATAGCGACACGGTGATGTGAGTTACTGTGGCTACAGGAATTTAGTCCCACATCGGAACCAGAGGCAGTGCCGAACCAGCTTAAAAGCCTGGACCTTGGAGGCTAAAAACTCCAGATCGATCTTTTTGCGCGAAGCGAGGACGAAAGCGCAAGAAAGTTAATTAGCAGATGTGGTTCATTCAACGTGTAAAGTGGATCTTAGCTGTCATCTCGGGTTGGGGCGTTACAAATTGTATTCAGAGCCAACTCTCGCGGTTTCTCGGATATATGGCTCGGGAGCTCGGACAGGTTGCGCATGGCTCTGCAAGAGCATGGCACTAGGGCCGAGGAGCTGGGAATATGGACGTGGGCCAAGAGAGTCGATCCTGGACATTTGTCTCGCTTGGTAGGTTGGTTCGGCCCTCGACGAAGACGTCGAGTTCTCAAGGGTGGGTGTATGTGAGACCCCACTAAATGGGCCAAGTTGGGCCGGTCTGGTGGGCTGGGCCGAATGGACAACACTGTAGCTACAGGAATTTAGTCCCACGTCGGAACCGAAGGCAGTGCCGAACCAGCTTAAAAGCCTGGACCTCGGAGGATATTAACTCCGGATTGATTTTTTTGCGCGAAGCGAGGACGAAAGCGCAAAAGAGTTAATTAGCAGGTGTGGTTCATTCAACGTGTAGAGTGGATCTTAGCCGTTATCTCGGGTTGGAGCGTTACAGTATAGGACATTTTTTTTTCCAATCACATATTTTTCTACAAAATTACGTTGATTCCTATAAAATTTCAATACAATTTTGTGAAATTTATGTGCTCCAAACACGCCCTTAGGAGGGCGGAGGAACTCTAGTATCATAACCTCCCCTTTGATTTATGTAAAACAAGAATAATCTCGCTTGTACAACTCCTAGTAGGTTTTATTAGTTTTGGATAAAGTTCAAGTGCTACAGTCTTGAGTTGCTATGTAGTCCACCCTTAATTTGGTCTATACACAACTAGACTAAAGAGTATGCCTCGTAGTAGGATTAATTCGCAATCCATGTGCCACGCCTCCATAACCTAACAGGACTAAGACACAAAGGTACCTT